TATGGGACGTGATGTCAGGCCGCAGCTAGACAAACACATCCCTTCTGAAGACCCGTTTGCAGAAAACATCAGCTCAAGAAACAATTAAGTAACACCCTTGTAACACTTCACAGAAGCAGGGGTGCCTCGGGAGCTCAGTCAGTAAAGCGTCTGCCTTCGGCTTGGGTCATGTTACCAGGGTTCTAGGATCAAACCCCCCCCATCGGGCTCCCTGCTCAGTGGGGAGACTGCTTCTCCCTCTGCTGCTGCCCTTTCCAACCAGCTCGTGTGCTCTCTCTCTCTCATTCTGCCTCTCAGTCAAATAAATAAAATCTTCTAAAACAAAAACAAAAACAACTCCACAGAAGCATCACCATCTTAGCAGGGGAGGGGCGGGGCACATCTCTTCAGCAGGATTCCAGCCGCCTCGACGGCAACCTTACTCATCTTGAGCTCAACTACACTTGCAGTAAGTGTAAGAGTATAAAGTTTATGATAACACACGGATGAAAAGTTTCCTCCCTGACCTGAGCATCTTTGGAAAATGAAGGACAACAGACATCCCTCTGCTCTCCCTGCAGCAGAGCGAACACAGTCTTGGAAAGGGAGCATTCCTGGAGACCCAGCTCCTGTCAAAGGGTCAGGCGACCGAGCCTGCAGGACCGCCCCCAAATCAGCGCTGGGTCTGAACAGAAGGGTGGCAAGCAGTGGTTACCAGAGGCCCTGGGGCCCAGGGAGACTGCCCCAATCCAGGCAGAGATGGACCAGCCGACCTCCTGCCCCAACGGTCCAGGAGAAAAGTGGAAAGCCTCTGGCTATGGATTTCTGCCCACTCCGCGAACGCACACACTCTGACTTGCGCTCGCCTGTTTCCCAGTCTACATATTGCTGAATAAATACATCTGTTCATAACACCATGAAGAAACTTGTAAGAAAAAAGCCAACCAAAACAAAACCTTTTCCTTAAATTTTAAGAGTGCTACAGAAATGGCAGCCTACAGATACGATAACGTCCCTACCAGTCTGTTACAGAGAAGGTAGACGACTGAGCCACAAGAAAGGAACCGCTCCAGATACGACTTGCGAGCGTTCCAGCAGCCCTCCGGCCGACAGCCACAGACAGCCTCGAACAGGCGCACATCCTAAGGGCTGGTTCTAACGCAGGGAGTGCGGACCCGGTTCCCACGTGGGCGGGGCAGGGGGTCCTGAGCACGGGGTGTCCCTGAGACACACAGCCCCGCCGGCAGAGGAAAGCCACCGGCAGCCGCGGGAAGGCTTCCGAGGGAAGGCAGGACCCGCTCCGCAGATGGCCGCGCGGCCGTGGCGCACACTCACTCGTCGCCGTCGGGGCACACGCCGCTGGCCTCGTCGTACTTGGAGCAGTACACGTCCGGGCTGTAGTTGAAGGTGCCGTCCCGCCTGCGGAGCGGTCTACGCCGACGCTGATTTAGGAAATGCCAATGGAAACAGGTAAATGGCCTGTGCTGGGCGCACTTGTGCTGCACAAACAGGGCGCACTGCTCTGTCCTAAACTCCTTTAGATACCTAAAAAGACAAACAGCGTTGCGGGTCGCTTCCGCCGCCACCGCCGCCGGCGGGCGGCCTCGGGGACTCATGGGCGGACCGGACCCCGCAAGCCAGGGCGCCCCAACCTCAGGAGCAGCCCCCACTGTGAAGGCAGATGACCCCAACGGCCGCCCCCAACCCCAGAGCGTCCCTCGAATCCCAGGCACAGTCCCCGACCCCAAGCGCAGGCAACCATCTCCGCCCCGAGGTGTGACCCTCCACTCTATGTCCGGTCGGCCGCCCTACCCTACCCCCAGCCCGGGTGCGAGTCCCCAGACCCCGTCCGCAGCACCCCCCCCCCCGGCCCCGGGCGCGACCCCCCAGTTCAGGCGCGACACAGCGACCCCGGGAGCGCCCCGACTGGGGACAGAGGCAGCCCGAGTCCAGACGGCCGCCCTCCCTCCGAGCCCAGGCGCGACCCCCCACTCCCAGCGCAGACCGCCGCCCTACCCCCGGAACGGATGCGATTCCCCGGACGCCGTCCGCAGCATCCCCCATCCCGGCCCCCGACGCGACCCCCAACTTCAGGGGCGACACGGCGACCCCAGGCACGCCCCGAGCCCCAAGCTCTGGTGCCATTCCTGATCCCAGGCGGAGGCAGCCCGGGTGCAGATGGCCGCTCTCCCCCCCGACCTCAGGCTCATTCTCCGCAACCCCCCGAAGGCCCGTGGACCCCCGACTCCTGCCGCGCTCCCCAGTCCCCGCCCCCAGGTGCCGCCCCAGACCTGGGCGCCGCCGTTCGACCTCAGGCGGCGGCAGCTCGCGTCGGACGGCGGTCCACCCGCCCCGAGCCCAGGCGCGACGCCGAGGCCGGGGCGGGGGCCGGGGGGCGGCGCGGGGCCCCAGGCCGCACCGGCGGCGGCACCCAGGCCCAGGTGCGCCGGCCGGGGGGGCGCACGGGGCCGCCCCCCGGCCCGCCCCCGTCCCCGCCGCGGCCGGCCCGGCCACTGACCTGTAGTGGGTCGGCTTCTCTGTCTGCGGGGGGGACCCGCTCAGCGACGCCGCCACCGCTTTCGAAACCGACGGCATTTTCAGTCAAAACAATGCAGCGCGCATGCGCCAGGCGGGCCCGCCCCCGCCCCCCCGGATCTCCCCCTGCACCGAGCCCCCCGCGACCCCGCCCGCCTGCCCCGCCCCTGCCCCGCCCCGCCCCGCCCCCGCCGGCGTCCCGCGGACCCCAGACCCGTCCCGCGATAGCGCCCAGCGCCGGTCTCCGCAGGGACACGCCCCGAGCGCGCCACCCCGCCTCCGGTGCACAGTTCTGTGGCCCCGCGGGCTCCCCTCGTCCGCGTTCACGCCAGCCCGCGCTCAGGCGGACCCCGGCCCCTCCCGCGGAGCGTTCTGCACGACCCGGAGCAGGTGCCCCGCGTGGGACAGCGGGCTGGCAGGTAACACTCCACTCCTTCATCGACTCTGCCCCCCAGGCTGGGTGCGGAGCTGCGAGTACTGGACGCCGTGGCTTAGGGCTGGGGGTGGATGTGGGGGGCCGTGCAGCGCTGCTTACGGGTACCCAGCTTTCTCTTAAGGATTGTGAACAGGTCCCCAAATTAGGTTGTGGTCATGGCTGCCCCAAGTCACTATTTGAAACTTTTTCATTATATACTGCAAGTGGGTGAACTGTGTATCAGTAACGCTGATTTTAAGAAAGAATCCAAGAGGCCCACAGTCAAGGGGGAGCCACACACCGCTCTCGTCACCATGCAGACGCACTGGGGGGTGGGTTCTTGGGGAAGCAAGCGGCAGAGCGGCAGCGGGGTCCTGGCTCCGTGAGCCCGGGGTAGGAGGGAGGGTGTGCACTTCAGGAGGGAGAACCTAGGCCCGGAGCACGCAGTTTGGTAAATATGGGGCATGAGACACTTTTGAAAATGTTCAACCCGGCTAGTAATTAAATTAAAAATTATCTTAGGGACGCCTGGGTGGCTCAGTTGGTTGAGCAGCTGCCTTCGGCTCAGGTCATGATCCTAGCGTCCTGGGATCGAGTCCCACATCGGGCTCCTTGCTCGGCGGGGAGCCTGCTTCTCCCTCTGCCTCTGCCTGCCATTCTGTCTGCCTGTGCTCGCTCGCTCTCTCTCCCTCTCTGACAAATAAATAAAATCTAAAAAAAAAAAAATAATAAAATAAAAAAATAAAAATAAAAATTATCTTAAAAAGCAAGTGAAAGTAAGGCAGAGACCATGGAGTGGGCATTTTCTGTTCTGAACAGAAACCCCCCAATGTTGCAGCAAGACAAGCCCTTGAAGGAGGGCAGCTGGGACAAAGACTGAGATGATGAAAGGTTTTAGGGAACAGTTCCCCTGCCCACCTGCTCTGCCCTGCCCCTTGGAAGAGCCCAGGTCCGGGAGGGCCTGCTCACACTGTCACCAGCCTGCCTTGATCTTCCTTTTGCTCATGAGGAGGCCCACCGTGCCTGGGGCGTAAAGTCCGGAACCAGAAACACCCTCGCTGGCGGCTGCCCTAGAGATACTCAGGATTTGTTCCCATGTGGTACATGATGTTTCATCCAAAAAAGCACCCACCCCTGTGTTTTGAAAAGCTGTGCATTTATACACACAAAACGATCTGGGAACGTAAACAACAAAGGGTTCACAGGAGTTGGCTCTAGGCGGTGGGATTTTTAGTGTTTCTGATTCTCCTTCTTTTGCTTATTACGGTCTCTAACTTTTCCAGATAAACCATATTGCTTCTGTCATATGAGAATTAATTTTAATTAAAACAAAAATTCTTTTCATTAGGACTTTTTCTTCCCTCTGCAGGAACTACTGAGAGAAAAGTAAGGGTCCAGGTTTGAACAATTTGCTCCAACAAAGTAGTTCACAATTAAACAGGTAACAACCATGCCAGGTTAGAGGAAGGACGGCTTAGTTCTTTGCTCCTGCTGGGATAAAAATGTAGCCTGAGCTACCATCAGATCAGTCTTTCCAAACCTTGATCTGTCTTTAAATAATGAACATACTTCCATCAGTTCTATTTCCCTACTGAGCCCAGACACTGCCGGACGGAGAGTACTCCCTCACAGAGACCCTTCCAGAAGCCAGCACGCTGGCAGGCAGCCAGCAGCCTTCAAACACACCAATGAAAGAAATCTCCAGGTGAATTTGGGACATGCCAAGATAAAACCTTCCACTAGAAGCGTAAGTAAATAAAATCTTCCTTTTGTGCATCTTGTATTTAATTAAAAACTAAGCACTTTCTTACTTATTACTTGAAAAGCCTATCATCTAAATACCCAAAAATACTGTCTGCAGAGTTTGTCAAAACAAATACTTATCGGGGGCACCTGGGTGGCTCAGTCGCCGGGCGACCGCCTTCAGTTCCGGTCCTGATCCCAGCATCCTGGGATCAGCCCGCATCGGGCTCCCTGCTGTGCGGGAAGCCTGCCTCTCCCTCTCCCACTCCCTCTGCTTGTGCTCCCTCTCTCGCTATGTCTCTCTGTCAAATAAATGAATAAAATCCTTAAAAAAAGAAAATCACCCAAAAAAAAGGAAAAAGAAAAAGAAATACTTATCAGTCTTATTCTGTTCAGAAAATCTGGTGACCTTTTTCTGTCACCAGAAAACTGTTACACCTAAAAATCTGTAGAGCTGATGAAGTTCATTATTTCCGGCATCCTTTGTAAATTCCACAATTTACATTTAGATTTCTTTCCTCAGTTCCTACTCTGGGAACACAGAAGAACAAAGGAACTGGAAAGGACTAAAAGTCTCCCCCCCCTTATTTTTCTAAAATGAAACGCAAACAAGGGGAGGGGATCGGCTTAATTCCACATTACCAAATTAAAATGTACTGTCAATTAGTTTGTAAAACTAAGAGCAATTTCTACGCACTACAGTACACTGCAATCGGAAGGTTAACTCTTCCGCCAGCTGTTCCGTCCCCGAAAGCAGAAGACCCGCGAACTGGATCCGGGGATCACGAGTGTCACCAGCACCGCTTCGGAAACGCGATCGCGCGCCGTAGAAAGACACATCACAAATCCAAGAGCGCACGACGCAACCGAGGCCTCTCCCGAGCATCTGGAAACGCCATGTCCTCTGCACGTATCCGCTGGGCATCAGTGTCCGGCAGAGAGCCGGTCCCGACAGGATGGCCTTCCGCTCCCCCTTCCACGCGGGTCAGCGCGTCCCGGTGCGCCGAGTCCTTCACTCCGCTGACGCGCGCAACGGCGGCAAAATCGACAAACCCGATGGCCAAAGCGTCGGGGCGGCGGCCTGTCCCCTCGCCGCCAGCCCCGCGTCCCCCGCTGTCCCCGCGCCGCCAGCCCGCTAAGTCCTCGCCTGGTGGGCAGCCGGAGCTCCGGGCTCCTGCGAACCCTCGCCGGGCTCTGCCTCCTCTTCCCCGAACACCTGTTTCATCCACCGGTCCGCGCCGGTCTCCTGCCGCAGGAAGCACCAGAAGACCAGAGCCATGAGAGAGAGGCTGAAGGGCAACACCCTCCACCAGGGCCGCCGCTGCTCCTTCCCCAGAGAATGCTGCACCGTCCAGCGGGACGGGTGGGCTTGGCTGGAGGAAAAGTGAATGGGACGGTCAGGGTCATCCTCTTCCTCGGCCGCGGGCGGGGCCTGCGCTCGACCACCCGGCGGCGGCTGGGCGCGGGAAGCCCAGCGCACGAACCTCAGCGTCCGGACGGCCCTGCAAGAGAGACAGCTGTGAGCGCGCCCGCCCGTCGCCCCCGCCCTCGGCCGCTCCGAGAACCTGCACAGCTCACCCGGCCGCCGGCGCACACAGGACGCCGCGCATCGCGACCCGGCCTCCGCGCTCGGCGCCGTGGCGCATCGGGTTGGCGTCACTTCCGACGCGCGAAACCGGAAGCCGGACGCCGTTCGAGGCCTCTGTTCACGACTACAGAACGTGGGTCCGGTCGCGCGACGGAAATGACGCGCACTCTCGGGCGGCCTCTTCCGTCGCAGCCAGGCACACACGCCAGGCCGCAAGGGCGTGCCGGGATCTGTAGTTCGTTCCCAGCCCGAAGAGGAAGGAGCCGAGAGGTGCCTGAGTGCAGGGCCGGGTTGGAGCGAGATCGTCGCACTGGCCCCCGCGCACCCCGCACCCTTCCTGCCGTGCAGGCCCACGTCCTGGCGCTGTGCGTTGCCCCGTGCAGCGCACGCAGAGCTGCCTCTAGACCCAGACCTCTCTGCGGGGCGGCGTTTCCGCGCAGGGCTCGGCCTCGGGGCCGCGATCCCGCAGCCGGCGCCGCTGGGCACGCGCACGGCGCTCCCCGGGCGTCGGGCCTGCTCGCCGAGGGCCAGCGGGACCCCGTGCGCATGTGCGCTGCCCTCCTGGGTCACCCTCCCGACTCAGGCTGGGGGCAGGGGGCGCCCTTCGGGCTGCCCTGGGGCTCCCTGCTCGGCCCGGTAGGGACGCTGCTGGAGCCTTTGTCCTCAGGGTAAAAACTGGGCCTGGTTTGCTGATCTTTCCCGTCAGAGGGCCACGGAGGGTGCGCAGGCATCCTCACAGACGTTGTGGGGTTGCGTGTAGGGGCGCCGGGGACTGCGTGACACAGTCAGATGGCGAGGCCGCCCTGTGGACGGTGATGAGCCGCCTCCCCAACCCGGCATCTTTGCCTCTGGACCGCTCCTTCCTGCACCCGCTTCCGGCAGAGACAACCAGACCCCGCGCGGGTCTCCGCCCCGCCCCTCCGGGGACTCTCCAGACACTAGGGCGGGGGTGGCGAGCTGGAGACGGTCCCCACGCAACAGCACCTGCGGGTCCCCCCCAGCCTGGGAAGCCCTGGCGCGCTGCGGCAGCTCAGCTCCCAGCCCGGGACCGTGTCCAGAGCTGCTGTGTCAACAGAGGCACATGTGTGTCCGGGTCCTCCTCGCCGGGCCCCACCCCACCTGTTCCACCCTGTCCGTGCAAACTGGCCAGCAGGAACACTCTAATACACGAAGGAAATACGGAGTTTTATTCAAACCGAGAGCCGCCCGGGAGACATGTCTTCACGGGGGAGAGAGTTCTGGAGAATGAACTGTTTTCACAGAGTTAGAGAGTTCTTTACAGCTTGTAAGAGTTCAGAAGGGTATCGATTAGCGTATAAACAGGATTATGAGGTTTGACTTCAAGGAAGGCAGGCAGCAGGAGTGTGGATGACATCTCTAAGGCAAGAGGGTTTTCCCTTAGGCTGCTCACTCAGGAACCAGACATACAATGTGTGTGTGGCAGGCCCTTAAGTCCGGCTTTTGGTTTAAAGAAAGTTTATGTACCGCCATCCTGATAGAGAAATCTAAAATGACTTCCCTCGTATATCAGACCTTCGGAGAGCTTTCCTCACCTCTACCTCAGAACCCCACCCGAAATCACTGCCTAACCAACTCACCCACAGGCAAGCCCAGGAACCCCCGCTGCAGACTGGAGGAGGGGATTCATACTGTGAGAGAATGGGCCGGAATCATCCTAGTGTGTAGCCTGGAGGGCTTCCTGGAGGAGATGCAAATTAAAGAGCTCTGAGGTTGGAGGTGGAGCTGCTCAGTGGGGCATTTGCAAGAGGATTCTCTCCCTCCCTCTCCTTCTGCCCCTCCCCTGCTTGTGCACGTGCATGCTTGCTCTCTCAAGCTCACACTCTCTCCCTCTCTCTAATAAATACATAAGTCTTTTAAAAAAGGGGGGAGGCGCCTGGGTGGCTCAGTAGTTAAGCGTCTGCCTTCGGCTCGGGTCATGATCCCAGGATCCTGGGATTGAGCCCTGTATCGGGCTCCCTGCTCAGCAGGAAGCCTGCTTCTACCTCTCCCACTCCCCCTGCTTGTGTTCCCTGTCTTGCTGTGTCTCTGTCAAATAAATAAAAAATCTTTTTAAAAAAAAAAAGAGCAAATCCATGTGTCCAAATGACGACTCCTCTGTCCCCAATTCCTGCTGCCACTTGGTCTCCACTGTAGGTGAAAATGCTATGCAAAAACACAGGTCCTGCAGAGTCCTTCTTTTTTTTAAGATTTTATTTATTTACCTGAGTGAGAGAGCAAGCATGGGGTGGGGGGAAATGGGGTGAGGTTGGGGAGGGGTGGGGGAAGAAGGAGAAGCAGACTCCCGGCTGAGCAAGGAGACAGATTCAGGACTCGATCCCAGGACCCCAGGGTCGTGACCTGAGCCAAGTCAAGGGTCGGAGCTTAACTGACTGAGCCCCCCAGGTGCTCTGGTCGTGTAGAGTCTTAAGAGGGCAAGAGCCCCTGGCCTTTGGGAGCTGGGACTCATAGCTGGGGTCTCTGTTGGACATAAGCATCTTCCCACACAAGGACAAGTGTGGGTCAGGCCACTGCGGGACTGCTTGGGACGAAAGAAGGCCCCGCTGTAATCACATCTGAGCACTCACGGTCCAGACACCGCCCAGACCTCTGCAGCCCCACCTTCTCTGCCCTCCTTCTGGGAAAGATGCACTAGGGTGCCGGACCGGGCTGAACTCTGTCCCCCCAAATTCACATTCACCTGGAACTCAGCACGTGACTTTATTTGGAGATAGGATCTTTGCGGATGTAGATCAAAGGTCACCGGGATTGGGGGGCCTAAATCCAAGGCCTGGTGTCCTCCTAAGAAAAGCAGAAAAGACACAGAGACACATGGGGGAGGCCACGCAGAGAGGCTCCAAGCCACAGAGCGCCGAGGACTGCCAGCAACACCAGAAGGAAGAGAGAGAAAGGCCCGGGACAGACCCTCCCCCGGGGGGTGAGCCAGCCGACACCCTCACTTCAGACGCTGGCCTCCAGACTGAGAGAAGACTTGCTGTCATATTAAATCACACCCGGTGTGTCGTGCTTTGCCCTGGCGGCCCCAGGATGTGGTCGCAGAGCCCCCTGCTTCCTACCAGCCAGCACCCCAGAGCCGAGCCCCTCACCCAACACTGGCCCGGACCCCCAGAGGCAGACACGTCCCGCGCCCCAACCCCAGCACTCCCCCGCCAGGGTGGGCGCTGGGTGACAGGTGCCAGAGCCTGAGCCTGCAGTGCTGCCCGCTCTGGTCCGAGTCCCCTCCCCCACCCCCTCGGGGCATAAACCGACACCTCGGCCTTCATTATCTCAAAGCACACAGAAGAACCTCTCGGGGTCTAATGTCTCCCTAATGGGCAGGGCTGGTTCACCTGAGAGCTGACATATTGGGGCTATTGATTTTCCCCAGGAAGATCAATATGGGGTGCGTGGGGACAAGCAGGTCCATGCCTCCCAAAGAGCAGAGCCTCTTCCCAGGGACAGAGGCCTGACAATGGAGCAGGGGCTGGCGGGGGCAGCAAGGGCGTAGAGCTCTGTAAGGCCTGGCACACCGGAGCTAGCTGGGAGCAGGTGCTCGGACATGTGCTGGGGCCTGAGCCTGAGTGCATCAGTTCCAGCCCCACTCCAGCTGGCCCTGGCCACCCAACACCCGGCTGGACTTGGGTGCACAGTGGTTCTGAGAAAGTGTGTCTCCACCAACCCAGCCTTGCTAGTAACAAAAGCCAGAGTTCAACCTCCACTCGCTGGACTCCCGGGTTCCTCTTGAACGTGGCTCAGACTTAGGAGTGGCAAGGAAGGGGATAATTCATCACACCCCTACTAAGACCTCAGATCTGATTCTTCAGTCCCTCTCATGCTTGTCTCCCACCTTCACTCCCTCGGGCTGTGCTCTGTGGGGCCCTATCATTGACTGCTGGGGCTAGTGCAGTGACGTGACATGTCCACAGTCCCTGGGGATTGGGGTGTGGACGTCTGTGGGGTCCCCTAGCCACAGAGTGCCAGCTCCTCGTCGCCGAGGCCTTTCCAGGCTGTCTCCTCTGCAGAGACATCTGCCCTTTGCACAGATGGCCGGGTGAGCTGGTCCCATCCTGCGTCCAGCAGACGACGACCTTCTTGAAGCCCCTCCTCTGGTCACACGGGTGGGGGCTGGGAATGTTCTCGTGGGCGGGGTACGGGAGAAGCGCCCCGACTCTGCCTAGCCCGGACAGGGCACCGAGGAGGACTGGAGACTGAGCCCAAAGGCCCTCCTGGAGCCGACACCCATACTGCACCCGCTTCGGGTCCTTGGGGCCACACCTGCCCCAGCCCTTCCCGAGGAGCAGCAGGGGGCGCTGTGGTCACAGCCCCGCACCTGTGGGGCCCCTCCCTGGGGTCCCGGCTAGCAGGGCTGAGGCTCACTGTGCTGGGTCTGAGGGGACACCAGCCGCTGGGGGAGGGCCACTCCCCCGGCCAGAGCCTGGACAACAGTGTCACCGAACCCAGAGTCTCGGGGCAGAACCGTGGCCGTGCCTGAGGTCGGTTTTTGGGAACCGGGGTCCCAGTGTAGACTGAACTCATGAGACAGATTACTTGTGTCCTGGCCGCGCCCTGGGACGTGAGGAAGGGGCTGGGACGATCTGGGGACCATGAACCACAGGCATAGGGAGGCCTGGCGTGCCACACATGTCTGCACTCTCCCTGCAAGGCCCCGGCCAGGGTAGTCTACCTGCTTGGGAGACAGAGGTGGCTCCAAGGACCCACCCACAGCAAGTGACCAGCCTGGCCGGGGCCCCATGATCCATTCCCCGTCACTTCCCCACAGCCGGGTGTCCTAGGACTCCTCCATCGGGCCCTCCAAATGTCCAAGAAATGCCCGCAGCAATGCCCCCGTGGCCCCCGGTTGCAGGAAAGGCCCACCCCCATCCATGCCCACAGCTCACGTAATGGGGGATTCACTAGATAGGAGAGGTGCTGTCTCCGTCTGAAGGGAGCAGAGCCTGGAGCCAAGGCCAAGGGCCCAGGGAGGACTGCGAAGGCACCCCCAGAAGGGTGAGCCCCCGTTGGTGGGAGGAAGATCAGGGACCGGGGGCCCACCGAGCGGGGAAGGGGCTGCCGTCCTGCCCTCAGGACCTGGCTGGCCCACAGGAAGCAGTGGCTTCAAGCCAAGGCCAACGGGTCTCTGGAGACCCCAGCCGGGAGAGAGGCATCTAGCAGGGGCCACGTGCGCTGAACGGTTGTCCCCCAAACTTCGTCCGCCAGAACCTCGGAATGGACTCTCACGCGGAAACGCATGTCTGCAGCTGCAATCATGAATACCAAGTCGGACTGGATCCCAGTGGGCCCCGAGTCCAATGATGGGTGTCCTTGTGGGACAGAAACTGGGATCCAGACTCCCGTGGGACGGGGGCACACAGATGGAGGCAGAGGTTAGGGTGACACATCTGCAGCCAAGGAGCCCCACCGCGGACGCTGGGAAGGAAGCATGGGTTTTCCCCTGGATGACGCCCCTTTGCTGCTCCCGGACCCCCGTTTGGGTGACTGGCTACTGTGGCCCCAGGACGGTCAGGTAGCCCCAGGCGGCACCAC